GTCTCAAAAAAAAAAAAAAAAAAAAAAAAAAAAAGACTTCCAGCCGCTACATCTCACCCAGAGGATAAACAAAGTCAATAAAAAACTCAGGCAGTAGGAGACCTGGCCCCTTTATCTTTCTGACCTCGTCTGCTACTTGCCTGATCCCTCTTCTGCAGCCTCACCATGTCCTTGCTGTTACCTATTGGGCCCACTTCCAACCTTTGCGTTTACTATTTGTTTTGTCTGTAAACTTTTCCCACAGATAGCCCAGTGGCTGGCTTTCTCATTCTTTTTGACCTTTAATCAAATGGCACCTTCTTACCGAGGCTTCCTCTGACTACCCTATTTATAATTAAAATTCTTTCTCTGTTTCGTTTTGTTTTTTTCATTTCACTTGGCACCATCTAACATAGTATAGAGTTTATTTATTGGCGTATTGCTTGCCTTACCCCATTAGAATATGAACTCCATGAGTTCAGGATTTTTTTTTTTTTCTCTAATTTTCCTAATCCTTCATCTCCAGGGGCCTGGAGCAATATCCAGCACAGAGTAGACACTCAGTAAATATTTGGTGAGTTGTTTTTAAATATATGCAAAGCATTTTTAATTACTTAAAAATGTTGTGTTGGATCAGTGTTCAAGAAAGATGTGTTATGTTTGGTTTATGGTACACCAGCACAGATCCCAGTTTGTAATAGGCAGCCCTATCTAATTTAATAGCACTGGAAGGCTTCACCAGCTTTTGTTCATAACGATGATGAAGTATCTAAAAATAAAGATTAATGGCTGTGCAGCATATTTTGATAAGAATGTATGGAAGTAAATATTTTAGAAAGGATATAAATATATTAAAAGTACTGTGGTTGATCAAATAAGACTGCCACTATCTGAAAAGCTTAACTATATTCTCAGACTTCTTATTTGTACCCTTTCTGGGGTACAAATTGTACCACTGTTCTGGAAATTGAAACTAAATACAACTCTGCACATTCTTTTTTAAAAATGTGATATAAGAATAATTTCTGCCAGAAAATAATAATTGCACCTTTTTTTTTTTTTGACTACCTATTATGTGACAAGATTTGGCCCTTTTCATGTGTTGATTTTAATTCTTACAGCAATTCTTAGGTATTACTATCTCTGTTTTTCAGATGAAAAAAAGCAAGGTCCGGAGAAGTGGATTTACTAACTCTGGTCATGGTGGGCTTTAATTAGAACTTAGCACTGTGCAAACTCAAAGTTCATCTTCCCTCCACCCCTGCACAATCTTTTTCTCTGATCAGAGGGCTAATGAAGCACAGTCTTAAAAGTTGATTAACACATTTGACAAGAATCTTTTGCACTTCTGTTTTGGGCATAGTACTTTGTTTGGAAAGGCATTGGGTTCTGTAAGCAAGTGCTGATCTTAATATATTTCTCAATCACCACCCCCTTACCTTTTGTACTTGTCTGAGTTGTCTTATTTGAAAATATGATTGGGTTTTCTTTACTATGAGAATTAGTGGTGAGAGGAAACAGTCATGAAGATATTTACTTATTTATTTGTAAGCAACATATTCTGTTCCACCTTTATTAATCCTAAATGTACTAAGGTAAATCTTGAACAGTTTGAAAGAGATGATTCTTTCTAAGTTTTTTTGCACAGTCTGTTTTCATTATTCAGAAAAGCAAAATGAAAACAAAACTATCATAAAAGCCATCATCAAGGGATAACCACTGTTAATATTTTGGCTTATGTTCTTGTAAGTATGTGGTTGGGAGTGGTATATGAATGTACATTTAAAGTAAAATTTCTGGGATTTTGAACTTCTGAGTACATGTATGGAAGAGTTGGCAGAAGGCCTTCTTTTTCCTAGTATCCTTACACCCATCACCTCTGCTTGAAGTCTGGGTGCAGGAGAGCTACCAAATTTATCCCTGGCCTTTAGCTAGTCTGGGTTTTTTCCCTCAATTCCTTGTATTTAGCTCTAATTTATAAGATTACTAAATCTATCTTTTGTAGCTTTGTCAATCATGTTGTACCATACAGTAGAGAGAAATCTTAATAAATAAGGAAAAATAACTTGAAGAGAGCAACTACAGAGTCTATAGGTAACCTAGATAAAATCTCTTAATTAAAATTTAAAAATCATCAGTCTTTCATTCAACACCAATGTTCTAAGTCATTGCTGAGGTGAATTTGGTTAGATCCCAGCCCAGAAGAACATACCATCTAACAGAGAAAGCAGACACATAAACAGTAAAATATAACAATTGTTAGAAGAATGACTAGGTGACATTTTGAAGCAAAAGAGATGACTGTCAGGGAAGCTAACAGTGCCTTTTGAATTGGGCTTGAAGAAATAATAGGCATTTAACAGGCGTTCTTTAAGGTAAGTGAGCTATTCTTTTGCCTGGCTCTAGATGACTTTCACTTCCTGTTTCACAGAAAAAATAACATTATATGGGAACTCTTCTCCCTTCAAATATATCTGTATTCAAACCTCTGCTTCCTTTCTAGATTCAGAAGAGGTTTCTTTCTATTCAAGGCTGATTTTTTCACCTGTACACTATTCATTATCCCATTTGTATTGTCAAACAGCTTAAGTCTTAAACCCTTAACACCAGCAGTTCTCAAAGTATAGTTGGAGCCCCTAACGCTCTTTCAGGAGGTTTGTAAGGTAAAAATCACATATAGTTAAAAGATTTATTCAGAGTGAAATATACTTTAATGTTCTAAGTTAATTGATACAGCTTCAGATTCCACATTGCTGCTTACCTTTAAGAAGTTATTCCTTGTCAAATTTTAGTGTAATTTCAAAGAGAAATATTTGCTACTTTGTGAAAAGGCCGTTAAAATACACCTTTCTTTGTAACTATATGTCTGTGTGAAGCTGGATTCTCTTCACATACATCAACCAAAACATACTGCAGTGGATTGAGTGTGGAAGCAGATATAAGAATTCAGCTCTCTTCTATTAAGTTAAATATTGAAGAGATTAGGAAAACTTTAAAACATTGTTACTCTTCTGTTTTTGGGGAAAAGGTAATTATTTTTTTTTAAATATATATGCTAACATGTATATGGTTATTTTAAATGAATTTAATAATTTTTAAATTTCTCAGCATCGATTTAATATGGTAAATATTGGTAGATATAACCAACATAAACAAAAGCCCTTTGGAGTCTATATTAGTTTTTAAGATGGTAAAAGGTCCTGAGACCAAATTTGAAAACTGCTAGTGCTTGCATGTTCTCCCTCCATCCCTCCCTCTCTCACCCTACCCCCACCTTCATTTCCCCTCCGCTCCCACCCCTCTCACCTGTCTCTCTCTCTCTCTCTTTCTTCTTCCCTTCACAACCAGACTTCTTGGAAAATCTGTTTTTGCCATTCACTGACTTTTTTACTACAGCTGTTCCAAGTCACCAGTGGCCTTCTAATTTGAGTCTAGCATAACCATCAGTGTCTATTTGACCTCTCTGAGTCTTTTATACCAACCTGTCACCTTTTCTAGAAGTCTCTGGTATGCTACTGTCCTGGTTTTTTCCTTGGTTTCATGACTAAGAAGTATTTTTAAAAATTCTTTCACATCATTCCTTTCCGTTCTAAGCATTACTAATAGGCAACCTTATTTTTACTGTTGTTTCAACCATATATGTATATGTGCTCTTAATTTGTATGAGGGCATTTCAAAAATGTAACTATATGTCTCAAAAAAATTGTGGAAAAATTGAATTAAAAGATTAAAAATGTAAACTTTGGCTGGGCACAGTGGCTCATGCTTGTAATCCTAGCAATTTGGGAGGTCCAGGCGAGCAGATCACCTGAGGTCAGGAGTTCAAGACCAGCCTGGCCAACATGGCGAAACCCCATTTCTACCAAAAATTAGCTGGATGTGGTGGTGCATGCCTGTAATCCCAGCTACTTGGGAAGCTGAGGCAGGAGAATCGCTTTCACCTGGAAGGCAGAGGTTGCAGTGAGGCAAGATTGTACCACTGCACTACAGCGTGCCTGACAGAGCAACACTCCACCTCAAAAAAAAAAAAAAGTAAACTTTATTTCTGAACATAACCTCCATGAAGTTTAAGACACTGTTGTAAGGGATAACACCAGCCATTTGGTCCATCCCTAAAGAACTGGGAGTCCTGAAAATTTAACCTTATCAATAAAGTCTTTTCTACATTATTAACTGGAGAAAAATGGATGCCCTATAAAGATTTTTCAAGATTAGGAAACAAAAAGTAGTCAGAAGGAGACAAATCAGGACTGTAAGGTAGATGCCTAATGATTTCCAATTGAAACTTACAAAAAATTTGATGTTGATGAGAGAAAAAAGCAGGGGTATTGTGATGGAGAACAACTCTGTGGTGAAGCTTTTCCAGATGTTTCTCTGCTAAACATTTGACTAAAGCTTTAGCAGAAAAGCTTTAGTTTAGAAACATTCAGAAAAGCTACCGTTTCTCAAAACACTGTAATTAGCAGATGTTATTATTCTTTGTCCCTCCAGAAAGTCAACATGCAGAACACCTTGAGCATCCCTAAAAACTGTGGCCGTACCTTTGCTTTTGACTGTCGGCTTTCGCTTTGACTGGACCACTGCCACTTTTGAGGAGCCATTGCTTTGATTGTGCTTCAGGATCATACTCATAAAATCATGTTTCATCTCCTGTTACAATGCTTTAGGATCTTGATTCTACTTGTTTAAAGTTTCCATTGAAAGCTCTGCTCTTGTCTGTAGCTGATCTGGAGTTTGGGCAGCCATTGAGTGGAAAGTGTGCCCAACTTTAATTTTTCAGTCAGAATTGTATAGGGTGAACTGGTTGTCTATGGTGTTCACTGTTGGTTCTGCTGTTAATTATAGGTACTCTTCATTTAGGGCAGAAACAAGATGAATGTTTTCCCCAAAAATTGACGTGGATGGTCTGCTGTGGCAGGCTTCATTGTCAACATCATCTCATCCCTTAAAATGAGTTACTGATTTGTACACTGCTGATTTTCTGGAGGGTCATTGCCCCCATAAACTTTTTGTAAAGCATCAGTGATTTCACCATTCTTTCATCCAGCCTCTACCATAAATGTGTTTGTTTTAGCTTCACTTTTAGCAGAATTCATGTTGCTGTGGTAAGGTTCTTTTCAAACTGTCTTATTCTTCTTAGTGCCTCAAACTAGATTCTGTTTAGACATGGATGATAACAAGTTAGTTGTAACAAGTTAGTATGAGTTTATTTCGGAAATATGTTTTGCAAAAACAATTTGAAATCCGTGCATGGTTATTGCACAATATGCATTTTTCATGAACTTTTTGAAAACCCCTTATATATGAGAATACTTAAATGGTGAGCATTCTTTGCTGAAACCCAGCTCCTAAGCGCCAGACCACGTATATAGGTACTTGGTGTGAAGGCCCCTAAATGGTACCAAAGGTAGATATTTCACATTTAACACAAGCAAAAAAAAAAAAAAAAACAAAAAAAAAAAACTGTTCTATCTCCCTTTCTTCTAATTGCTGATCTCTAGTGAAATTGTTGTGATTTGGCCTCCTAAATGTTTTGATGTTTACTTCTTCATTCCCCTGCCCTATACTTTTTCCAAGTTCTCATTTCTGTTCACCTCGATTATTGTAGAAGTTTTCAAAACTAATTTTCTTGCCTCAGTATACATCCGTTTAATTTTTATCCAGAGGACTCCACTTAACTCTACAAGATTATTTAACTTCCCTTCTAAAAATCCTGAAGTGGCTCCCCTGTAACTTTATGTATAAGTTCAAATTCCTTGTCTTAGTATATGAGCTACATGGTGATATGGCCCTGCTACCTTTCCACCCTCATGTCTTCTCACTTAATCACAGAATCCTATGATCCAGCCATAGCAAGCTCTTTGCCTGAGACACACATGCTCCCAACTTTTCCCATGTTATTCCCTCTGCCTGGAATTTTCTTTTGGGTTTGTCTTCATTCCCTTTCATCCTTCCAACCTCCCACTCCAATCAAATCTGTCTTGATATCCCTACTCCAGATTGCCTCTGCCTGATGCTCCTTTTCTGGGCCCCATAACACTCTTGCAGCATTTATCACTACCTGTTACTCTGTGTGTCCCTTGGTATATTGAATAGCTTGGAAACAAAGATTTTTCTCTTCTCTGTGCTCCCATTTGTTACTACAAAGACTGACATAAATGTTTGCTGAATGTATTCATGAATGAAAGGAAAGGAATGGTCTTTCTGAAAAAGAAAATGGCATAAACGATGCATTGTATTATAGAAGTAGGGTTTTGTGGCATGAATTTTGGAGTCAGACATAAGTGTAAGCCCTGAATCTTTCACTTTCCACCTTTGTGAAATAAAGATGATAAAACTGTAGTGGGAAGTAATTTCATTATTCCTAAAATAATACTGAGCAACACCATTCTCTACAGTATGCAAGTCACTAGGTATAAAATTAGCATGGTCCTGAACTCATGGATCTTAAATTCTAATGGGGGAGACAGTAAACAAGTAAACAAATATATGATTACAAATACATTGTAAATATATGATTACAAATACATTATGCAATAATGAAAGAGAATTAGGTGAAGGGCAGCTAGACCTATTTAGATGTGGTCAAAGAAGTCCAAAGAGAAGAAGTGAATACTAGCATAGAAACCTATAACACAGGGAAGCTTTTTGCTTTTTACTCTTTTTTATAGTTTTAGAATGTTGTTCTATATGAACACATTATTTACCCTAAAATTAATTGTATTTTTAAAATGTATATAAGGAAGCAAAAATAATTGACAGAAGAATATCTGAGTCTATTTGTCTTAATTGAAAGGAAAGATCCTTACCTATTGAGAATGAGGGACATGAAGAATAAATAAAAATCATGTGGGAAGAGGTAAAGGTATGAAACAGTCACTAAGGACAATGAGAGAAGACAAGTGGAAGGATTAATGACAGTGTTGAAGGCCAGGTAGAAAGGGGGTTACCATAAATTTGTATTCACATCATCAGCTCTGTTGTATAAGTATAAAATTGTTAGATTTATCCCTGGCTGCAGCTCTCCAGGGTGGAGTAGCAGAAGAAAAGGGGGATTGCCAGAATAAAGATTCTGTCTGGAGAGTAGTTGAAATGGTGAAGCACAGGTTTTGGCACAGTAACAAATGAATTATGGTCAGGCAGATCTCATGGACTCAAAAAATGTGCAGAGATCAAGGAAGAGCAAGCTATGTGAAAAGCAGTGGGTGGACCATATCTGTTAGTGCTACACAAATCATTTCATTACTTTTTTTTCACTTATACCAAATAATGTTGTACAAATTTTTAATAGTAAATAAGTACTGATTGAGAAAAATATATTAAATTGAAAGGTAAATGTTTTTATTAATAGATTTGACTTCTGAATATGCTAGTTCTGATAGTTTGTTGATACTACTGTTAAAAGGAATTTTTCTGGTAACTTTTTTGGCCCTTTCTATAAATTTTACTTGGGAAATATCAGTGTCAGAAAAAAGTCCCCCAGTTTGTATTACTTTAATAGGTTGGAAAAGAAAGCAAACCCGGAGTGCAATTGGACAAATGAATTACAATTTTAATTTCATCTTAGGGTATCAATGACATGACTTTGGAATGTTTCTTTATCACGGTATAATCAGTTAATATAGCAAAGTGTGACATATAAACTTACAGATATCATCTCTAAAAGTACTGTAAAATTTTAATGAGATTTTTCCATATTTTAGGAATAGAAGATGAACAAACCCATAACACCATCAACATATGTGCGCTGCCTCAATGTTGGACTAATTAGAAAGCTGTCAGATTATATTGATCCTCAAGAAGGATGGAAGAAGTTAGCTGTAGCTATTAAAAACCCATCTGGTGATGATAGATACAATCAGTTTCATATAAGGTAATAGATAAAATTCTTTGTATTTTTGAATTCTTACATCACAATGTATAATGATTAATAGGTGTAAGTACTATCTAATGTGGCAGTTTAGAACGTGAACCTCTCTACTGTGGAGGAGACAATGGTAATAAGTAACCTCCTTTTGGTTGTTCCTTTTGCAATTTTGTCTTCTTTTTCCATATGTTAATTGGGCCAATATTTTGATCTCTCAAATAAGCTTTTTGGGTTAGAATCAAGATTCCCACCTTTGCTGTGGTTCTCTGTTTGACAAGCCAAGTGAAGTTTACTCTGCCTCACACTTCTCATTTCCAGATTGAAGGAAGATGACAATATTATAAGAATGTCTAGTAAAAATCTGCAGCTTAAACTTCAAAGTATGTGAATCTCTAATATACTCTAACAATGTATTTTGGGAGTTTTTCAACTTGACATTTTAAAGTTGTTGCTTACAGGTGTATACTTTTATAAACAGAATTCTTAGATCTTAGCTAGGATTCTTTAGTGCTATCTTCAGATAATTTCAGTTTTTCAAAACTCTTTACTCATCTCTGTTCGATTTAGTGTAAAATATGCATGCAGATTTTATTTTTGTCAGTCATTGCAGTTAAAACCTATATCAAAATTTTTCTTTGGTAGGAAAAGGAAAAGAAGACTATTTGTTATTTTCAGCATGAATCTGGGAAAGTACCTAAAGCCTTGGCTCCCTTCCAGGAAATGTTTCCAATTAAGAGCGAACATGTTAAATTACTTGAAAGAAGCTTAAGTTTAAACTGTGTTAAGCCAATGTTTAAAGATAATTTGTTGATATTACTGTTAAAAACTTATGGAAGATAATTGGGGCAGTGGTGGTAGGAAGATAAAGCTCTTCTCTTTTTTAATTCTTTTTTTCCAAGACTCACTCTTGTGACACAAAAAGCTCTTTACAGAGTAATATCTGTAAATAATTGTGAAAAGAATGGTAGAATTAGAAAAATACCCATTTGCAACCACCAAATGGTAGCATGAGAAAAATACCTATTTGCAACCAATCAAATGAGTAACCGATTCATACAAGGCTCGTCACTGAACCTAAAAACATAAGGTGAAAGGTGGTTCTCATGCAAATGAGCAGGATATGCACAAGATTTTAAAGTATTACAGGCTGGGCACATTAGCTCATGCCTGTAATCCCAACACTTTTGGAGGCTGAGTTGGGCAGATTGCTTAAGTCTAGGGGTTCAAGACCAGCCTGGTAAAACCCCATCTCTACAGAAAAATAGCTGGGTGTGGTAGTGCACGCTTGTAGTCCCAGCTACTTGGGAGGTTGAGGTGGGAGGATCATCAGAGCCCAGGAAGTCAAGGCTTCCATGAGCCATGATGATGCCACTGTACTCCAGCCTGAGTGACAGAGCAAGATCCCCTCAATAGATAGATAAAAAGTATTGTACACAAATTACTTCTGAAGTATGAAAGCAAAGGGTACTTTTTTTAAATGAGGAAATATGAAATACACTTCCTTCACCAAGTGATCAAACTTCAGCACCAATAGTAATGGTGCAAAATGCCATTATGTACCCCTGGATATGATACATTGGGAAGGGCACATTATCACCTATGTAGTATTTCTGTCAAAATGTTTAATGTGAATTTAATCATGAGAAAGTAGTCAGATAAATCTAGGCTGTTAGACTCATTCTATAAGACATCTGGCCAGTGTTCTAAAACATACACACTCACAGACACACATTGAAAGAGAGCGTGCACAAGAGCCCAAATATGACATAATTTTTTATCAATTGTTAAATTGATGAATCTAGGTGAATGGTGGTTCATTCAATCATGTTTTTCAACTTTTCTATAAGTTGAAATTTTTGAAAATAAAAAAAAAGCAAAAAAAATGATATTGGTTCAATTTTTTAATGTTATTTTTCAAAACTAATTTTTGATTTTAAAGAAATGGAAAGAAATGGGATGAAAGCCAATTTTGTGATTTTTTTCCTCAATTTAATTACAGTTAAGATCAAAGGGATAATTTCCTGTTTTTGTCTATTCTGTTTAATTAAGCAGGCTAATTTATTAAAAATTACATAGCTATCAGAGTCCTAAGTCATGTGGGAAGTAATATAACTAGGTAGATTGAGAACACACTCTTATGTCAAATGAGATCTGAATTTGAACCTCAACTTAGATATATCACTTTGGCTGTGTGGCTATGAGGTGGTTACTCTACTTTTCCAAGCCTGGCTTTCTCACTAGTAAATTAGTATCATAATCATAATGTCTTTGAACATGTTCATGTGTATGCATCCTGTAACTTACTAAGTAAATACCCAGTAAGTACCCAGTAAATTTTTATCATTATCTTTGGCATCTTTTTTCCTCCTATCTTTCCTGTCTCTTTGTAATTCTTGCTAGTTCTCTTGCTGTCCCTTTTCTTTAGTATTATAGGAGATGCTGTGGGCAAAACAGGCAGGTGAGATCAACACCTATTTTCATATGACCTCAGTTTATAAATTCTGTTGTTTGAATGTGTCCCCAAAAGTTCATGTGTTGCAACGGTGTTGAGAGGTGGGACCTGAAAGGGGTAGTTAGGTCATCAGGGCTCTGCACTTATGAGTGGATTAATGTTGTTATGGCAGGAGTGGGTTAGTTATCTCAGGAGTGAGTTTCTGATAAAAGGATGAGTTTGCCCCTGTCTTTCTTTCCTTTCCTCCTTCTCTTTCTCTCTCTTTGTTTCTTTCTCTCACGCACGTGTTCATGCTCTTTTGCCCTTCTGCCCTTCCACCATGGGATGATGTAGCAAGAAGGCCCTTACCAGATGCAGCACCTCAATCTTAGACTTCCCAGCCTCCAGAACCGTGAGCCAAATTAACTATTGTCTGTAAATTATACAGTCTGTGGTATTCTATTATTGCAGCACAAAATGGACTAAGACAATAGACTAATTTTGTTTCTTTGTTACTTACTTTTAAGGAGATTTGAAGCATTACTTCAAACTGGAAAAAGTCCCACTTCTGAATTACTGTTTGACTGGGGTACCACCAATTGCACAGTTGGTGATCTTGTGCATCTTTTGATCCAAAATGAGTTTTTTGCTCCTGCGAGTCTTTTGCTCCCAGGTAAACTGATTGTGACCAGGGTGTCCACAATTAGGGTGGAAAGACAAATGGAAGAAATAAAAATGTTTCTTCTTACTCTTTTTTCTCATAGTAGATGAAGCTTACATTTGAGAGTCCCTTTATTTCTTTCAGCACTCCTCAATTCTTTAAAAAGCAACACAAAGGACACTGTAAACTCTGCTACTAAGGTGATAGAAGCTTCGTAAGAGTCAGATAGTTTGGTGCCAATAGGAAGTTTAGAAGGGAAGACCTCATACATCTGGCTTAGGCTGTAAGAAAGTAATTATTCTTTTGAGCTCTTGATTTTTTTCATCTTCAGCTTCCACTATGATGGAATTCTATGATCATGATTTTTTTTAAATTATATTCTGATGTGTTAGTATCTAGTTGCCTTCCTTATAACCTTTCCTTTTTTGCTTTGATGACTTTCACACCAGTGGTTGTCAACCTTTATCGTGGATAAGAATCAAGTAGGTTCTTGTTAAACATGTAGATTCCTGTGGCCTATTCCAAATCTACTTAATCAGAATTCTGGAATTAGGTTCAAGGTCTATATTCTTAAACAAGTGCTTCAGTGCCTTTGATATAGTGGCTGCTGGATCACTGTTTGAAAACACTGCCTTACTCTCTCCACCCACCTTCATTATAACTTACAGATTCTTACTAGGTAGCTTCTTGTGTGTGATATGAGAATATGGGAACAACCTGTAGAAACTGGAATGATATTAAATGAACCAAATTTCTAGTTTAACTTTTACACAACCACTTTTTCTTACTGAAAAACAACTTGTATCTTACTTGGTTTGTTAGATGCTGTTCCCAAAACTGCCAATACACTGCCTTCTAAAGAAGCTGTAACAGTTGAGCAGAAACAGATGCTTTTCTATGACAAAGACAGGACATTGATGACACCTGCGAAGAATCTTGGACAAAGCTATATGCCACCTGACTCTTCAAGTCCAGAAAATAAAAGTTTAGAAGTTAGTGATACACGTAAGTAACATTTTCAGTGCTTTCCACTGGTGGATTTGTCATTAAGACTACTGGTGCTTTAAAAGAAAGCTCTTGTTCATTCATTTGTGCAGCAATCACAGGCACACTGGAAGTAGCTCTTTTGTGAGTTTTTTCCTCCTGATTTATTAAGAACCCTCTTCATCAGTGATTAGAGGCAATAGGACGTCCAAGCACCAGAGAAGCTATGAAAAAAATTAAGTAAATATTTACGTAACTTGGAAGGGTCACTTTTTAAAATAAAGTATGTGACTAGAGTTTTGGGCAGGTAGACTAGACCTACCCAAATGGGTGACCAGAATTTTAGGCAGGTGACTATAGTGTTTGGAGGGTAGGATCACCAAACCAAATTCTCAAGAAAAACTTGTAATTTGTATTTTAGAAATTGTTGTATCCTCTCCCATCTTGTCTAATTCAAAGTCATAAATAATTGCATATATGTGAAATATTAAAATGAAAACATATTAGAATTATCAAAACCAATTTTTAAAATTTAAATACGTTTTTCTTATTTTGACATTATAGGCTTTCACAGTTTTTCATTTTATGAATTGAAGAATGTCACAAATAACTTTGATGAACGACCCATTTCTGTTGGTGGTAATAAAATGGGAGAGGGAGGATTTGGAGTTGTATATAAAGGCTACGTGAACAACACAACTGTGGCAGTGAAGAAGCTTGCAGCAGTAAGTTATATTTTTAGGAATAAAAGGAAAGAAAGAGTTGCTTCCTAGTGTGCTCTAAAATAGGCTTTAAATGTATTAAACTTTAGGAAATACATTTTTTCAGTATGTATTTTCTTTAAATAAACATCATCCTAAATAGTAGTTCTTAAAATTTAAAAATCTATATAAAGCTATGGACCCTATCCCTAGAAAATTGTAGTTATGCACATATATACACAATCATACATACAATTTTGGGAGATTCACAAACTAAAGTTGAAAAGCCCTACTCCACACAGTACTTCATGTATAATCAATATTAAAATGGTAAGATACCAGGAAAACTATTTTTTAAAAAAACTTTGTTTACATTAGTTTTCCCATTTAAAAATAAAGTTTAGAAAGTATACATTAAGAAAAAAGATTAATTTTTTTTTATCCGTGTCCTTTGTTACCATTTCTATTGGGATATTCACCTTTTACTTATTGACTTGTTATATTCTAAACCTTTTATTAGAGCCTAAAAATATCAATAGAATACATACGTATGTGATAAAGATAGTTACTCTTTGTCATATACATTTCAGTGCTTTTGTAGGTTTTGTTTTCTATTTTGCATTTAAATTTGCTTATGTTTTCTATTTCCTAGAATTTTTTCTCAAATTTTTTGTGTAGTAAAATTTCATGTGATTTCATTTTGTTTCTACAACAACTCAGCGAAATTTATATGTATTTTTCATTCCACTAACCAGCCGTGGACCTTGAGCAAATCACTAGAATTTCTATATCTCAGTTGTTCTATAGATTGGGAAAGTGATACCTTATTATTTTGAAGAAAGGGCAATTAGCCAGCTGATCTCTTGAGCCCTCTGAGCATTAGGAGGCTTAGAGTTGTGTGGTATTACATTGCATATTTTATTTTTTCAGGTGGTTGACATTACTACTGAAGAACTGAAACAGCAATTTGATCAAGAAATAAAAGTAATGGCAAAGTAAGTCTTAATTTGGCAGTGTGGTATAGTGAAAACGAGAAAAACAAGGAGTAAGGAACCTGGTTCATTCTAGAGTATGCCATGAACTAGTGATGTCTGCACATATGTGAAATTAAAATAAAGTGTTTAGATTAGAGAAACTGAAAGTACTTTTGGCTCCACAATTCTTTAATTACATATACCCATATGCTGGGAGATTAAATAGCAGTCATTATTTTAAATCATAACCAAGTTACATGGAATTTCACTATCATGTCTTTCATTATCATCTTTTCTACTTCCAGAATTCATGATTAATAGACCCTTATATATAAAGTAGCACATACAAAGGAACTAGAGTCATGTTATATGCAAGGATGCTTAGAAGGCATTGACCCTGTGTGCTGGAAAATTTTTAGGCATCATCAGGAAGAGTAGGAGGGACAAAGGAGGGAATGTATTCTAATAATTACAGTGAGTAGTAATGATTGATATTTGAGTTTGTCCAACATGCCTGACATTGTGTTCTGTACTTTATCTGCATTGTCTATCTAACCCTCAGACCTGTTACAGCTGCCCTTTTTGTTTGTTAATTGAGATGTAGAAACATTAAATGCTTGTCCAAGATCACATAGACAGTAAGTGTTACAGATGGGACTGAAATTCAGATGTTTGATTGCAGAGCCTGAACTTTTGATCTGAATCCTAATGGGATTCACCAGATTATACCCATTGAACCCACTGCTGTAAATCACGAGTCATAGTTACTCAATTTCAAGAAGAGTAGATTAGAATTGATTTAGGCAGAGTAAAAATAATGCACACTGAAAAAAGATCAAACCCTTTTTTTTTTCCAGGATTTGTTTTCTCCACTCCTACCCCTACTCTCCAGTCCTAAAAGTAACTTGTTCACAGTAAATAATCTGGAAAGCACAGGAAAGTATTTTTAAAATATACAAACCCACATGCATGCAGGGCTTAATACTTAGGTAATGGATCGATAGGTGCAGCAAACCACCATGGCACGTGTTTACCTATATAACAAACCTGCACATTCTGCACATGTATCTTGAAACTTATAATACAAACCACCTCTCAAATATATCACTCAAGAGATAACCACTGCTAATATTTTTATGTACTTGCTTCATGTTGTGTGTGTAGTATTTTCTCATGTCATTAAAAATAATTTGAAAACATTTTAAATTATTGTACAACATTCTAGCATATGTGAGGATCATGTTTTATTTAACTATTATTAGGTTTGTTTCTAATATTCAGTATTAAAAATAAAGTTTCTTTAAAGCTCTTTGCACATAAATCTTTAAGTGCAGTTATACTTATTTCATCATCTAAGGTAAAGTCCTAGAAAAAGTATTACTAGGTTGGAATGCATGAACTTTTTAAAGACTTTCTAAATATATATTCAAATGGTTTCTGAGATAAGTTACAGTAATTTCTATTTCTACAGGCAGTGTGTTACAATTTCAAACTTTACTGGTTCCTTACTTTCATTTAATATTACTACTATTTTTTAGTAAGTGCTAATCTCTGGACCTTACTAGCAGAATGATCTTGGCCAAGTTTCTTAACTTTCTATTCATTAATTTTCTCATCTATAAAATGGGATAATAGTACTTACTTCATTAAGTTATTGTGAGGATTAAATAAAGCAGGTAAATCACTTGCCACAGTGCGTCATATATAGTATTAACTCAGCAAATGTTAACTACTCACATTTAAAATGTGCCAATTTGGGCTGGGCACAGTGGCTCACCCCTATAATCCCAGCACTTTGGGAGGCTGTGGGCAGATCACCTGAGGTCAGGAGTTCGAGACCAGCCTGACCAACATGGTGAAACCCTGTCTCTACTAAAAATACAAAAATTAGCCTGTAACCCTAGCTACCTGGGAGGCTGAGGCAGGAGAATTGCTTGAACCCAAGAGGTGGAGGTTGCAGTGAGCTGAGATTGCACTATTGCACTCCAGCCTGGGCAACAAGCAAAATTCTGTCTTGTGCCAATTTGGTGGAAAATGAGACACTTACTGCTTTAATTTGTACTTCTTAAAATATTTATGAGGATAAAAGTCATAGTTGATATGAACTGCTAGAATTGTGGATCATTTTGAATGAACAAAATGAATAAGCACTTAAATAATAAAACACGTGCTAGATATGTTTCTAGGCTGTCATGTTTACATTTGCTCACTTAATTGTCTTAACATCCATATCACATAATAGGTACTATTTTCTGCATTTAGCAGATAAAGGAGCTGAGGCTCAGTAAGGCTGTTAACTTGCCATAGGTCACTTATCCAGGAGGGGGCAGAGCTAGACTTTAAATTTAGCACATACAACTCTGAGCCCTGTTTTCTTTCTTCTGTACTACAGATGTTTGCCATTTTATTATATTGTAGGTCTCTTTAGTTTTATTACTCTCAAGTATATAATAACACTCATATTTGGTTATAAATAATCCAATATGATTAAAAATACAAAACATGTGAATTAGATGTGATTCAAGATCATGTCTGTAAATCAGTGCTTTGAGTATGTTAGAAAATTCTTGAAAGCATTAGCATAAAAGTTTAAACAGACTTCTTGAAATCTTACTTGTGCCATCACTGAAAATTGGGCTAAAGAAAGTAAGCATCAGCCTAGTCCTTGACCAAACTTATCAGAAGTTCCAATGATCTGAATTACTTAGCTTTTACTGTAAAATAGAAAGAGGTTTGGCCAGGTGTGGTGGCTCACACCTATAATCCCAGTACTTTGGGAGGCCGAGGTGGTAGGATCACTTGAGGCCAGCAGTTTAAGACCAGCCTGGGAAACAGAGTGAGATCTCATCTCTACAAAAAATCTAAAAAATTAACTGAGTATAGTGTGCACCAGTAGTCCAAGATACTTGGGAGGCTGAGGCAAGAGGATCACTTGAGTCCAGATGGTCAAGACCTCAGGGAACTATGACTGCACTGCACTTCAGCCTGGGCAACAGAGTTAGACCCTGTCTCAAAAAAAAAAAAAAAAAAAGAGATTTTACTTCTAACATTGATTAATATTGGCTGAAAAGAAAACTATTTGCAGAAAATTAAGAACAGTTACAATAAGCGTATATAAACATAAACATCAAGTTAGAAATGATATATAACATACTACTTCCTTTCTCTTTTTTTTCTGTTAAAACTTTGAATAACTTCCAACCTACAATTGAATATATAAATATTTATTATAATAATTTTGGATGAAAAATTATTTGTCACAGGTGTCAACATGAAAACTTAGTAGAACTGCTTGGTTTCTCAAGTGATGGAGATGACCTCTGCTTAGTATATGTTTACATGCCTAATGGTTCATTGCTAGACAGACTGTCTTGCTTGGTAAGATATTTGTTCATCACATTGTTTGGCTTTTTGTTTGTATGCTGGAATATTAATATTCATTTTGTTATTGGATTATTTAAAGCAAATTAACTTTCATATTTCTTCTGCTCTGTGAAAATTATACAGTTGATATGTCAACAACTGGATTGCCATTCTATTAGGTAGTAATCTAAAATGTAGAATTCAGTCAAGACTATACTAAGGAGATGCTTTTATATGTTTTTATCTTCAAATAAGAAATGTAAGCACCCATTTGAACTTATTTAGAGATTATTTTTAATAACTTAAAAATGTAGTCCTAAATTATTAGTGCTATAACATCATCTTCGGTTGTTGCCTAGAAAAAATTCTGTGTTATATATTCTCTGTAGATTTTGTATTATTCTTTCTTGTTTATAATTTGATTTATTTCTTTATAAGGATGGTACTCCACCACTTTCTTGGCACATGAGATGCAAGATTGCTCAGGATGCAGCTAATGGCATTAATTTTCTACATGAAAATCATCATATTCATAGAGATATTAAAAGGTAAATGCTACTGTTTAAAGCTTTTGGAAAGCCATCTTTAAAGAATAATTTGCTGTTACTCTATTCACTATTTACATGGATGTCTTAACCTAGTGCTTCTGGACATTTTCCCCATCACTCCATGGAAGCTTTTCTCACTAAGGACATCTATAATTTCCTTTATTCCAAGCCCAGTGACCTACTTCCAGTACTCATCCTACTTTACCTTTTTTGTTTGTTTTAATAGTAGTTTATTCTGTTCTTCTTGACACTTCTGCCTTATGGAAATTAGTTGTTTTCTTAGTTTCTAGATCACCATTCTTTTCTGAATTACCTTCATCCTCCATGAGTACTTTTCAGTTCTCTTTTTTCTTGTGTATTTATCTAGTTAAATATTTACCTACTATAAGTAACATATTAATATATAGAACTCAACATCAATCAATCACAAAATAATAGAATGTTAATGTGTACAGTACACACATATGTGTATGTAGTATAGTATATAGGATTAATATAAAGAAGGATTTCCAAGAAAGTGGTATTTAAACAGAGATTCAAAAAATGGGCAGGAAATAAGTAGGTACAATTTTAGGGTAGCTATAGAATAGAAGATGGGGAGAAGAATATTCTAGGCAGAAAGAACTACATTTTTAAGACCAATGGTGAGAGAGAATATGGGAGCATGATGAGTTACAGGAAATGAAATATGCTCTGGGAGCCAAGACAGGAGGCATTTGAGGCCAGGAGTTGCAGACCTGGCTATGTTGCCTGGACGACATAGTGAGACATCATCTCTACAAAAAAAAAAAAAAAATCAGTCAAACATGGTAGTGCATGGCTACAGTTCCAGATGCTGGGGAAGCTGAGGAGGGAGGATGCTTGAGCCCAGCAGTTCAAGGTTGAAGTGAGCTATGATCCTGCCACTGCTTTCTAGCCAGGGCAACAAAGCAAGACTGTCTCAAAAAAAAAAAGAAAAAAAAAATGAAGTAAATGCAATATGACTGAGATGCAGAAAGTTATGGAGTGGTGGATTGGAGATAAAATTACAGAGGTGTAGGAAGCTAAGTCCTATAGGACCTAATGGACCAAGGTAAGGCTTTTAGTTTTATCACAAGTGTAATAAGATACCATTGAAAAATTTAAGTAGGAATGTGGCATCATATTTAAGTTTTGCAAAGACAACTTTGACTAGTGTAGAGAACAGTCTGTAAGAAGAGGCAGTTAGTAGGCTATCGTAGGTGGAAGTTTATATGAAGAGATTTGAGCAGATTAGAAAGATTAAAATGACAGAACTTGTTGACATCTTGGCTGTTCTGGGGATCAGGAAGAGGGAAGTTCAGGAATGACTCCTGGAATAATGGCATCCAGACTTGCATTCTGGAATGATTATGGCATGATTCTCTTATATAGAAAGGGCTGAAAGAAGACCTGGTTAGACTGGGTTAGAGAGGTGGTTAGAAAATGTGAATTAGTCTTTGTACTTGTGTTTGAGGTTCTTTAGAAGTAGAGATGTTAGGCAGTGTGATATACAGATTTGGAGCTGAAAGTCTGAGCTGAAGGTATAAATGTATATATTACTTGTATACAGGTGGTAATTGAAGTGACTCTATTCACTTAAGGGGAGATACAGATTAAGAAAAGGTCACAAGATTAAGTCCTGAGGAACCCTAAGACTTAATGGCCAAATGAAAGAGATAATCGCAAAAAGGAATCTAAGGAAGTACACATACAGAGAAAGGTAAGATGAAAACCTGGAGAGTGTGGAGTCCGTGAAAATGAGGAAAGAAAGTGTTTCCCAAGAGGGAGTAGTCAAAAATAGTCAAGTGCTTTAGTCATTGGATTAGCATCACCATGGTCATTGGTGACTTTATGGAGACCCGTTTCCATGTAGTAATTGGCTTAGAAATCACATTGTAGTTGAAAGAGTGAGAGCTAGAGAACTGAGATATGAGGATAGACAAGTCTTTTAAGACATTTTACTGATGAAGGGGACAGCTAGAAATAGATAATATCATTCAGGAAACTTTTTTTAACAATAGCAGAGACTAAACTATGCTTATATGCTAGTAAGAAGGTAAGAGGGAGAGGATATAATGGGTGAGAGAAATGAGATAATGTGGTCAGTAGGATTCCTGAGAATGTAGGAAGCAGCCCAAGCAGAGGAACTGGCCTTAGATGAGAAAAGAAACACCATCTCTTGTCCTCCATGTATTGGTACTTTCTCATGTTCTTACATCATGTCTCTTTTCTCCCTGTATGTTCTTTTTTTTTTTTTTTTTTGAGATGGAGTTTCGCTCTTGTTGGAGTGCAGAGGTGCAGTCTTGGCTCACTGCAACCTCCACCTCCCAGGTTCAAGAGATTCCCATGCCTCAGCCTCCAAGTAGCAGGGATTACAAGCATGCACCACCACGCCTGGCTCATTTTATGTTTTTTGTAGAGATGGAGTTTCTCCATGTTGGTCAGACTGGTCTCGAACTCCCAACCTCAGGTGATCCACCTGCCTTGGCCTCCCAGATACTGGGATTACAGGCATGAACCACCATGCCTGGCCTCTCCCTGTATATTCTTACTGAGTGATATTATATTGATTTTAACTGCTATTTATATGGGAGTGTCTCTCAAATGTGTATCAGTAGCTTTCAATCCTGGATTTTTGGTGTCCTCATACCCAAAACACTTCATGTGGGTATCCCACAGTAGCCTCTAAATCAGCATATCAGAAATCAAACTCATCAGCTCTTCCCAATCTAAAGTCTTCCCACATTTCCTTTCTGATCAAATGAAGTCACCATTCATTCTCTCTCAAGCTAAAGACTTTCTCATTCTCTATAATGTGCTAATTACAAAATTCTGTTAAGTGAGCCTCAAAATTTTCATTTCCCATTTACCCCAGTTTTATGACCATTTAGACCCTCATTATCTCTCATTTGATTTGTTCTAAACCTTTGTAGTCAACCTAAATCCAGTCTGTATCAGTTCTCATCTATTCACTACAACACTACCAGGTCATGGTCCTAAAAGTGAAGTCTAGTAACATCAGTTTCCTACTGTGAAAACTCTGGCTGGTATCCTGTTGCTCACAGGATAAAGTTCAAATTATCTCCATGTTTCTTGTACACTTGTTCCTTGAAGTTGACCACGATACCATATGCCTTCATACTTTCATCACTTTGTACATGTTACTCCATTTGCTTGCAGTTCCTTTCTTTCCCTCATATAAATATCAACTTATAATAATCCTTCAATACTAAGCACACTTTTCACCTTCTTTTTCTGTTTGAAACTTTTCCTACTTTTTCTAGGCACATGGTTGTTCTCTCAGCATTTTGTACCTAATATTACCATTATGTTTTTAAAAATTATTTATGCCTATCACAGATAAGATTTTAAGATTCCCCCATGCCCAGCAGGGAGATTAAATACTCTACAACTTAGGGAGTTTTCAATAAGATTTTGTTTAATGAAAGTATGAAAGCATATAATGAATGAGATATTTTGGCCGTATTTTTTTTCTTCAAAAGATTCCTGATAGTACAGAAAAAAAATGAATAAAGAAATGCATAATTGCGATACTTTGATTGGAAATTTGTTTTTAAATGAATTGATAAATATTAAGAAAGGAATTAATAGCCATGCACGGTGGCTCATGTCTATAATCCCAGCACTGTGGGAGGCTGAGGCGGGCAGATCACCTGAGGTCTGGAGTTCGAGACCAGCCTGATCAACTTGGAGAAACCCTGTTTCTACTAAAAATACAAAATTAGCCAGGTGTGGTGGTGCATGCCTGTAATCCCAGCTACTTGGGAGGCTGAGGCAGGAGAATTGCTTGAACCCAGGAGGCAGAGGTTGTGGTGAGCCAAGATCATGCCATTGCACTCCAGCCTTGGCAACAAAAGCAAAACTCCGTCTCAAAAAAAAAAAGAAAGGAATTAATAAAGGTGCTTTGGAAGATTTTGTAGGAATTTACCCTACAATAAATTATTTGTGGAATAATTAAAATACCTCTTACTAATGTAGACAATTTTATTTCATTTTTATTCTTCTAAATTTTTGCCTCTAGAAACATAAAAAAGAGGACAGTTGTTTCTCTTTAGCTATAATCTTAGTTCTAGCTTTATTTCTATAAATTTCAGGCTTTTATGATGATACATACTATAAAATGTTATAATCTGTAAATATGTATGTACATATACATGTATGCATATATTTACCTACATACATACATGCATACATACATGCATCTAGCTAAGGAACTGTTTGACTTTTTGGGGTGGAGAAAACATTTTTTTCTTCAAACTTTACTTTTTTTCAGTGCAAATATCTTACTAGATGAAGCCTTTACTGCCAAAATATCTGACTTTGGCCTTGCACGGGCTTCTGAGAAGTTTGCCCAGACAGTCATGACTAGCAGAATTGTGGGAACAACAGCTTATATGGCACCTGAAGCTTTGCGAGGAGAAATAACACCCAAATCTGACATTTATAGCTTTGGTGTGGTAAGTTCCATACACATAATTAGTAAAAAATAATCATTCTGCTATAATTGTGAAAGTGAAATAGAATATTATTTAATACACCCATCTTGTTTAGCTCTCTTACGTAGCAATATAAGTTTTTCGCATTAACTTCTACTTATGCCAGAAAGTTTATGAAAACTTCTTCCAATGTGTAAGACTTTTGAGTTATTTTTGAAATGACTATAAGAAATTATTTTCTTGCTGTTTGTATTTATGAATTAGCATGGCGCCTAATGCATTAAATGAATCATGTCATACAGTATATACCTTAGTCTTACATTTTTTGACATTTACTAATCTACTTGTCTGTTCCCAATAACTTTAAGATAGAGTAAGAGATAGGTGTGGGTGGTTGGAGATGCCAGGGGCTTTTTCTTCATTTTATTTTCTCATATGTGTTTCATATATGGAAACCTAACTTCATAGCACTGTGAAAATAAGGCATAGGGCTATAGACTATGCCTAATGTTTAGAAAATAATATCCTTCTAAGAGCCAGAAAAGTTATTCTTGTGAAGAATCCCCAAGAGGCAGGAAAAGGATTATATGTTGAGTAGGGCTGACTCTTTAGTAAGTTGCCAATAGAAAAGTGCTGCTTATGGTCATGATGGGGTCCAAGATGTCCCCGAAGGAAGGATGGTGAGAAATGCCCAAAGCTCATGTTCTTTCCACTTAAATATCTAAAAGACATAGCTTTGTATGGAATGATTCATCAAATTTTATAAGCAAGATTCATATTCCTTCTAGTTTACATTTATCTTTGTCTTGAGTGTTAGGTATCTAATTTATTAGTATCACCTATAGTATATATATTTTTTAGAGAGACAAGGTTTCACTCTGTAACCCAGGATGAAGTGCAGTAGTGCCGTTACAGCTCACTGCACCCTCAATCTTCCAGGTTCAAGTGATCCTATCACTTCGGCCTCCCAAGTAGCTGGGACTATAGGTGTGTGCCACCACAGCTAGCTAATGTTTTTTTAAAATTTTTTTGTAGAGACAGGGTCTCCCGTTGTCCAGGCTGGTCTTAAACTCCGGGGCTCAAGTGATCCTCCCACATCTGTCTCCCAAAGTTCTGGGATTACAGGCATTAGCACCATGCCCACCCTGTCTTGCATATTATATTAACGGATTTTTTTTTTGTCTTCATAGGTTTTACTAGAAATAATAACTGGACTTCCAGCTGTGGATGAACACCGTGAACCTCAGTTATTGGTAATTAAAATATTTGTTTTCCTCAGTCCTCTTTTCTCTATATTTGTAGTCGAAATTTATATGTATAAATTTGACAGCTAGAAATAACCTTTTCTGTTGGCAATCTTTCCATTGGCTATTACACTGTAGCATATGGATAGAGCATTAAATATTTTTCATTCTCAGCTCTGCCATGAAGTATTTGTGAAACCTAGAAAAGTCACTTTTATAGTCTTTGTTCTGATTTCTTTGTGGGTAAAATGAGAATAGAACTAAATGATTTCTGAGGTCCTCTTTAGCTTATGTTTATTTTATTACTTTCAGGGTGGTTACTATTATTAACAGTGTTTTCAGCATTTTCAGAAGGGAAAAAATGACTTCCATTCAAATGTCTATCAGAGTAAAATTGCTAATAAAACTTCTCTACTTATTTCTATCATGGAGTATTTTATTTACAAAGTTACAGTAAAGAACATACCTAATTTTCTATTGTTAGTAAAAACTCAAATCATGTTTTTTCTCTGCTCTCACACCACCACAACAATCATCAAAATTTCTGTGACCAAATGTGAATGGGGAGGGTTTCTCGCCACCACCAAGCAGGCAATCTACTTTGCAGCGGAAGTCAGCTGGATGTCCTCCAATTTAATTCTAACACTATGTTCCTGAAGATAGCATCAGAGTCAGATCCCACAGGTTAAGGGATCAGTCCCCAGGACTGCCATCCACCAGACACCAGTTGCAAGTTTAGGTGCCCAGAACTTCTGACCAACTGCCTTCAAGTTGGAGTTTATGTGACCTGCATTTTGGGTATGGAGGGCTCAAGACTGAACCCAGATTGATTCTAACTTGCAGCATATACTTTGCCCAAATTTTCCATCATTTTTGCCTAAGACTTTTTCCTTGAAAATATGTAAAAGCCTCAAAACTTTGGGTTGAGTAAGAATGAAATGCAGAAAAACATAGACTCTATCTCAGTCACAAGTTTTGCATTTCAACATATAATAGTGAAAATCATAAATCTTTGGAGAAGGTTATATTCTTTCACCTAGTCTTAAGGTTTGACTGTGATGTGACTCTAAAGTAATAAGATTTTCATACAAGCACAGTTAAAAGAAAGTGATCCTTTGAAGAACCCTTATGTCACTAGATTCTGCCATTGCCAAACATTTTCAGTTTTTCTTTTTAAAGTGTTTGTGGAGAGTTTACATCCCACCTCTCATGAATAGTTTTTTTTTTTTTCCACCTGTATTAGTTTCCTAGGACTTTTATAAAAATAGACCAAAAACTGTGTGACTTAAAACAACAGAACTTTATATGCTCATAGTTCTGGAGGCCAGAGTCTGAAATCAGGATATTGGCAAGACCATGCTTTCTCTGGAGGCTCCAGAGAGAATCTTTTCTTGCTCATTGGATGTAGGGCTTACCTCCAGGATTATCCATAATCTGAAATGATCTCATCTCAGGATACTTAATTACATCTGAAAAGGCCCTTCTTTTCCTGATGAGAGCATATTCACAGGTTCCAGGAATTATGACATAGACATGTTTTGGGGGGCCATGACTCATTCAACTCTACCACCTTATTCCTGCACTTCTCTCCCTATTAGTTTTTTTTTTATCATATTCTGCTCCCGATTTTTCCCCTTCCTTTTTCTCTTTGATTCAGAAATCTGAATACCCATAGAGAAATTTGTTGGGTACAGGGAGAAGGAGTCTGGGTCTAGAAGTTGAAATTGCACCATTTGAAGCAAATCAAGAAGCAGACCACCCTGTGCTGCCCACCTAGTAAATGCTGCTGCTAATGGGAACATATAAGCAATTAGTTCATAACATAAATATAAAAATTGAAAGGCAAATGGGAGGTACTTGCACCCATTTGCTTTTCAATTTTTGTATTTATGTTATGAACTAATATATATAATTTATATTTTTATTTTTATATGTTATATATTTATACATATGTTTATGTTATGAACTAATATATATACATATATTTATATATTTAGACACACACACACACACACACACACACACACACACACACACACAGAGTCGAGTGTTGCCTAATGACAGGAATACATCCTGAGAAATATGTTGTTAGGCAGTTTCACTGTGTGAACCTCATATAGTGTGCTTACACCAACCTAGATGATATGACCTACTACACACCTGGGCTTATATGGTATTGCTCTTAGGCTACAAACATATGCTGTAAAGCATAATACTGTCCTGAATTCTGTAAGCAATTGTAACACAATGGTAAATATTTGTATATGTAAACATAAAAGAGGTACAGTAAAAATATGGTATTTTAATCTTATGGCACCACCATCTATATATATGGTCTGTCATTAACCAAAATGTTAGTTTGTGGTAGACAGCCATATTTATTTACGTAGGATTTGTCCTGTATGTCTTCAGTTCTTTTTTTTTTTTTAATTGAGGCAGAGTCTCACTCTGTCACCCAGCTGGAGTGCACTGGCGCAATCTCAGCTCACTGCAACCTCCGCCTCCCAGCTTCAAGCGATTCTCCTGCCTCAGCCTTCTGAGTAGCTGAGATTATAGGCACACCACCACGCCTGGCTAATGTTCTGTATTTTTAGTAGAAACAGGGTTTTGTCATGTTTCCCAGGCTGTGTCTTCAATTCTTAATAAAGCTTTAAGATAAGATAGTAAAATGAGAGTGCATGTTATTACAAAGTAGATTAATTTAAATGATTAAAATGTATATTCTAATTTCTTTCACTTTGATTTGAAGTTATTAAAGTTTTAATGCTCATTTTAAAGCTAGATATTAAAGAAGAAATTGAAGATGAAGAAAAGACAATTGAAGATTATATTGATAAAAAGATGAATGATGCTGATTCCACTTCAGTAGAAGCTATGTACTCTGTTGCTAGTCAATGTCTTCATGAAAAGAAAAATAAGAGACCAGACATTAAGAAGGTATGAATTTTTTATACTTATTTAAAAAGTGAAAGGGGTGGGGTTCATCATATTTTCTTAAGTGCACATTTCAAAGCAGCTGTGTAATATGGTTCTTTTGCTTTTTTCTATCTTTTTTTTTTTTTTAAAGGTTCAACAGCTGCTGCAAGAGATGACAGCTTCTTAAAACTTCATGGGGCTCGACTCTTGACTTTTTATACACACCTGTCTCAACCATTTTTTCAATTAATTTTTTTCATAAATATTCTTCTTTATCTTTAACAAAGCAGCCTAGCGCAGGACAGTAGTTATTAAAGCATAGGTTGAACGTCCACTAAAGCATAGGTTGAACGTCCAACATACAAAAATAGAACCATCACATCAACACTTAGCCCTACCCATTAGTATCACCCTCAGTTCTTTGAGTAATCCCTGCAACATCTCTTTCAAGTATCACCAAACTCAGTTTGAAAATTACAGGGCTAGCAAAAAGAGCCTTGGCTGTATGTAGGGTGGAAACACTCTTATTTGAAGCCAACTGACTCCACTACTAATTTGCTGTAAAGCTTTGGACACACACTTACTGCTATGAGCCAATAATAACATTGGGCTAATATCTGCTGTGCTTCTCTGACAGGTAGTCATGAAAATCAAGTGATGTGGAATATATACAAGTACTTCGTAAATTGTAAAATGATATAAAATTTAAAGTTTACAAAGCCAGTTATAAAATCCTATTACTCATATTTTTATAGATTGTGTTTACAGCAATCATTTACCACAAGTCAAATATCCCTTGATGATACTGCCATAATGATATGTCCATTATTAGATTATGTTACATGACAAAGTTGATGGAATTTTGCAGATGCAGTTAGAGTTCCTAAACAACTCCCTTTGAGACTATTGAAAGGGCCTGACCTAATCAGGTGAACTCTTGCAAGAAGGATTCTCCTTGTAAGCCTTGAAGAAGTAAGTACCATGTTGTGAGAGTGGTACATTGGCTAAAGCCTAAAGGTAGCCTCTAGGAGATGAGTGCTACCTTCCATTTGTGAGCAAGCAGGGAAAAAAAAAAAAATGGGACCTCACTTGCAACCACAAGGAATTGAGTTCTTCAAATAATCTTTAAGTGAGCTTTGAAGAGTTCTCTGAACCTCAGATGATACCACAGCCTAGGCTGATGCCTAGATTTCAGCTTTGTGTGATCTTCAGTATGAGAATCTATCTATGCTGTGCTGGACTTCTAATATATAAAACTGTGAGATAATGGGTCACATTGGCTGGATGTGGTGGCTCACACCTGTAAATCCCAGCGCTTTGGGAGGCTGAGGCAGCCAGGTCATTTAATGTCAGGAGTTCAAGACCAGCCTGACCAACATGGTGAAATCCTGTCTCTACTAAAAATGCAAAAATTAGTTGGGCGTGGTGATGCATGCCTATAGTCCCAACTACTTGGGTGGCTGAGGCAGGAGAATTGCTGGAACCAGAGAGGCAGAGGTTGCAGTGAGCTGAGATTGTGCCACTGTATTCCAGCCTGGGTGACACAGCAAGACTCTGTCTCAAATAAATAAGTTGCATTAAGCCTTTAAACTTGTGGTAATTTATTATGCAGTAATAGAAAACAAATACAGATACTCTCCCATGATGTTTTTCCCATGACGATTTCCCATGATATTTACAGGCTCTGCGCACATTTCAGGGGTATGTGGAAATCATACAGAGCATATGCAATGGGGGCCTTATAGTGTACATACTGAAATGTGGGGTTGGAGCCCCAACACAGAGTCCCCAGCAGGGCACTGCCTGGTGGAGCTGTGGGAAGGGTGCTGCTACCCTTCAGACCTAAGAATGGTAGAGCCACCAGCAGCTTGCACACTGAGCCTGGAAAAGCCACAGGCACTCAGCTTCAACCATGAGGGAAGCCACGCACCCTGCAAAGCCACAGGGATGGAGCTGTCCAAGGCCTTGAGTACCCAGCCCTTGCACCAGTGTGCCCAGGATGCAGGACATAGAATCAAGGAATATGTTGGGGCTTTAAAGTTTAATGTCTTCCCTGCTGGGTTTCAGACTTGGGTGGAGCCAGTTATCCCTTTCTTTAGCCAATTTCTCCCTTTTGGGACAAGAATGTGTTACTCAATAACTGCACCACCAACTATGTCTTGGAAGTAAATAACTTATATTTTATTTCAAAGGCTCATAGGTAGAAGGAACTTACCTTGAGTCTCAAATGAGACAGGATTTCTGAGTGATGCTAGAATGAGTTAAGACTTTGTGGGTCTATTGGGAAGGGATGATTATATTGTGCAATGTGGGAAAAACATGAGATTTGGGGGGCTGGGGGTAGAATGATATTGTTTGGATATTTGTCTCCCTCAAATCTCATGTTTAAATGTGATCCCCAGTGTTGGATTTAGGGCCTGATGGGAAATGTTTGGGTTATGGGGGTGGATCCCTCTTGAATGGCTTAGAGCCATTGGTGATGAGTGAGTTCTCAGTTCATGTGAAATCTGGTGGCTGAAAAGAGTCTGGACCTCCCCTTTCTTTATTTTGATACTGCTGCTGCCATATGATATGCTCCCCCTTTGCCTTCTGTCATGATTGTAAGCTTCCCAGGGCCTTCATCAGAAGCCAGGCAGATATTGACGCCATGCTAGTACAGCCTGCAGAACCATAAGCCAAAACAAACCTTTTTTCTTTATAAATTACCCAGCATCAGGTATTCCTTTATAGTGATGCAAAAGGGGCTAACAATATATATTTAATTTTTAAGTTACATATTGTACTGTTTTATTAAACATTTATGAGTACTGTTCAAAGTGCATAATTTGTTTAACCCTTTTAACAATCATATGAATTTGGTGATAATATTCACATTTTACAGATGAGGAAATCACCCAAGATTATGTAGCTAATAAGTTGTATGCAGAAATCAGCATCTGGCGTCAGTTGCAATCTTTACCATTAACACTATGCCTGTACATCATATTAATCATAATCATTTTCTCTGTCATGTGTTGAGAGCTATTGTGCCAAACATTGTGCTAAGTGTTTTGTAAGCATGATCTGATTTGATAAATCCACAATGTAGGTTCTGTTCTTTTACTTCTTGAGGAAATTTTGAGACACCCCAAAGATTTATTGTATTTGGACTGCAGTTCTCCACTCTTCCATATATTTGATGCCTTTTGCAATATGGCTTTGTAATTTTTCCCATCAAGAGATAAAATCTATTTCCTCAACCATTAAATCTGGGCTGGCCTTGTAACTTGCTTACAGCAAAAGTGATGGTCAGGTCCAAGCCCAGCCCTAAAAAGCCCTTGTGCACTACTTCTGTCATTTGGAACCCTGCCACCGACATGAGAACAAGCCAAGGCGAACATGCTGCTGATGACAGACCATGCAAAACAGAGACAAGGCATCTCAGATGAGGTCGTCCTTAATCAGCCGCCTGCCGCCTGATCACAGACATACATGAGACATGAGAGATAACCAACTGTAGATTTTGAGGAAGGATAGTTTTAAACCACTACTTTTTTTTTTTTTAAGGTAGAGTCTCATTTTGTCACTCATGCTGGAGTACAGCAGTGTGATCACAGCTTACTGCAGGCTTGACCTCTCAGGCTCAAGTGATTCTCCTGCCTCAGCCCCTTGAGTAGCTGGGAGTACAGGTGCATGTCACCATGCCCAGCTAATTTTTTTTTTTTTTAATTCTTTGTAGAAACAGGATCTCACTAGGTTGCTGAGGCTGGCTTTGAACTCCTGGATTCAAGGAATCTTCCTGCCTCAGCTTCACGAAGTATGAGATTACAGGCATAAACTAACATGAAATTCACATTGGGGGGTAGTTTGTTTTTGTTTTGTTTTAAGGAAGGAAGGAAAGAAAGAAAAAAAGAGAGAGAAAGAGGAAGAGAAAGAGGGAGAGAGATCGGGAGTCTTGCTGCGTTGCCCAAGCTGGAATGTAGTCTAAAAATGGGTATTAAAAACCTCTTTTATGCCAATAATTGTACTTGACAATGGAGACAGGAAGGAATAAGGGAGCAAGATAACAAACAGGCAGTCAACCAATATTTCCCTTAAACCTGTGAAATGCTATGCATTTGCTGAGGAGTGATTTACTTCCAATTATGTGGTCACTTGTAGAGTAGCTGTGATGTAGTGCTGAGAAAAATATATATTCTGTGGATTTGGGGTGGAGAGTTCTGTAAATGTCTATTAGGTTTGCTTGTTCCAGGTCTGAGTTCAAGTCCTGGATATCCTTGTTGATTTTCTGTCTTGTTGATCTGTCTAATATTGACAGTGGGGTGTTAAAGTCTCCCACTATTATTGTGTGGGAGTCTAAGTCTCTTTGTAAGTCATTAAGAACTTGCCTTATGTATCTGGGTGCTCCTGTATTGGGTGCATATTTATTTAGGATCGTTAGCTTTTCTTGTTGCATTAATCATTTTGCCATTATGTAATGTCGTCCTTCTTTGTGTCTTTTGATCTTTATTGCTTTTTTTTTT